AGTATGAGATGTGATATAATTACTCGTGGAATGTTATTACTATTATCATTATTTCTTTTAGCTTTTTCAATAATTACTAGCTGGGCCCCATATTAAGTTTTACGTATGACTGAACTTATACTTTATCTTTAAAATCCTACTCTTTTATTTACCCCATTGTAAGGTAGTTTGATGCAGGCAGACATCTTTATTTGCGATGGAATAGACTGTAGGCTTTGAAAGTAACTAACTTCTACAACCAGTACAAAAACTTCAACCGATATTCGTTTCCGACATAACTATCCGTCATTATTATTATTATGCTAATAGCATCAAGGGTGTCCTATTAAGTAAGCCGTTAATCAAACCCCTCTTAATTTCTAAAGTATAGTAACTTTGATGAGTTAATACTGTAACAATAGAAGGCAAGACACGGAAGTAAAAGTATATTTTTCATTAATCAAACCGCTATTTATAGTTTATATTTGTTAACCAATCACTGAGCATGTGATTTCGGTTTACATCAAAGGACAAGAAATAAAATGTTCAAATATACATAGTATTCTGTCATCAGTGCCGAAATGAACTGTGGGAACAGGTGAGAATAACATTCCGTTGGCACACATTGTTTGTATCACACCACCACAATACTACCTGTCCAAATAGGCTTCGACTAAAGATGAATGACATTATAACTAGGCTATTCGAATACACTACAAAAAAACCTATTCACATATTACTACTTCACGCATAATTCTGTCTTCTAAATGACCTTGCAACATGTCGTTAATTTTCAGACGTAGACGTCCTATATAAACCGATAGCTTTGTTAAACCATCCTCTCCTACCACTCAACAATATGTCCAGGAGAATGCAAGTTAGTTGAAGTTCTCTTCATCACATTATACATATAAGACTTTTATGATTTTATACATAGTTAAGTTGCAGACCTTTATCAATAACTGTCTTCGCTGGCTCTATACTGAAGATCAGATGGCCGGGCCGGAAAGAATCACCAACAAGAAACTATGGGAACAAACAAAACAAGAACCGATCACCCAACAAATATGCAGGAGAAAGTGAAGATGGATTGGACACTCGCTGAGGAGGCCGCTGGGTGACATCGCGCGCGCGTCAGGCCATTGCTCGAGTGGAACCAGGCCGAAAGGGAAGCGGCGAGTGGGATGTCAGTGCGAGGATGACATGGAGGAGATCGTGTGAAGAGGAGTTGAAACAGTATGGACTAACATGGATGCAGGTGAAAAGTATAGCAGAAGACAGAAGCAAGTGGAGACGTGCAGTTGAAGCCCTATGTTCCACTAGGAACCCAAGGGAACAATAATAATAATGAGTCAACTCAGCTAATAGCTCTACCAAAGTGATATTCTAACAGAATCTACATAAATTCATCCTATACACAGTAACTTAATCACAGTTCTTCAGTACGAAACGATTGGACATTGTCAAGTCAATGAATTGGTGAAGTTAACCACCCATATGTATGGTGTTGGATCGGATAAATGTATGAATTATGAAAGGAAAGGCTGTGTGTAACGTGCTTATCATATTTGCATTGATTTTGTCGACTCTTGAAGAGGGAGGCGTTGGAACCAGGGTCAAACTGTTATTATTTTTCAGATAATCTAGATTTTAGTTAATGTAAAGTGGTTCTAAGACAATCTGTAGGGATTTTGAAATTCTGCGGAGTTATTTTAACATGATCAAAGTCAATTTTTTTATCTTAATTCTTTAGTGTAAACTTTTGGCCAACGATTTTTTCAAGCTTCTCCAGTTCTATTGGATATCTCGATGATTGCATAGACGGAGGCTCTATGATGCTTATTTCTTCTTTGATTTCTCAAGAAGTCTGTCCGGTATACATAGCATCACATTCTAAACACTTTGAATCCTCCGGATTTCATTTAAACACGCTTCGCAACTACTAGTGAAATAAAATCCCCCGACACCACGTTTGCTCATAAGCTTTCATCTCCTCTCCATACGATCTTCTGCAAGTCGTCCTCGGGCTACGTGCCACAACAGACTAATTAAATCCGGTTAGAATTAGCCAGTAGAACGGCTAATATGTCAACAATGCGTATCTTTGGAATTAACCTTGATTGTTATTTACATGAATAGATTACACACCATCAGGCTGCTGGCGCACTAACAGCAGCTAATTAACAGACCATTGGGTTTAGTCCCAGTGGCTGAATGGTCAAAGAGCTCACCTGATAATTTCAAAGCCCTGGGATCGCCAATTGATGGGATCATGAAAGCAATCTGAAGAAGATTCCTAAACTAGGGCGAAAAGACTGTCCGGTACCCCGTAATTTTCAATGGTTCACAAACTAATATCAATCTGAGATCAAACTTGAAGGAATCTGAAGGACTCAAGCATCATGTGTAGTTGTTCGTTTTAAACACTCATGAAATTAAGTATATCCAAACTCTGATCTGCGCATTTCACTCTTCCAAGTGATGAGTAAATGTAATTCAAAACTCTCTTTCTGACAAAATGTAATGACTACAAACACTATTTGATTCACTTTGGAGAGAGATATACTAGACAGCAAGATGCCAGCCATGCAAATGGTCCGAGGTTATATTCCCCGGCCGATGCACTTCTTTATCTCACTTTGCCAGGAGTAAGACCAGTAAAGAGGGAAGATTGGGCGTTAGGCGAGCAACTCTATCCCGTAAAAAGAAACATCACTGCTACTGGAACTTCAAAGCTCTAGTTTGAAACATTATGTACCGCTGGGAACTCAAAGGAATAAAAAATTAAAATAGATAATAATTCTCTGTTTCATGAACTGCCTTAATCGAGATGGAGAGCAGACATCATCTGTTGCCACTAGCAAAATGTAGAACCCATCTTGATCCCGTACTCCAGTTGTGCATACACCGAATGTGTTACTGAAGATATCCATCCTAATATTACCATACTAATTATTCAAAAGAAGCGGAGATTTGGCCAGTCGGTCCTAACCCTCTACTTTCAGTCAATGGATATCAGATTCAAACCCAGCCATCACCAATATATATATATATATATATATATATAAAGTATTGGTTTTGTAAGAATTTTGTTTGATTGCATGGAGGATCTCATCATGAGCTGGCATCATTTAGAAAACGACTGGAAAACCTGCGAGTACTGGACATCTGTTTCGTCCTAGTTTGACACCCACTAGCGACTGTCTGTCTGTTTTCGACATAAAACTTTGCACTGAAGTGCGACAGTTCGAGTCGTGACACTCCATGTAGCACACAAAGCAAGAGAAGAAGAAGAAAGTAGAAGAAATGCATAATGGAGACAGTAAACAGAGGTGTGAGACAAAGGAATAGTAATAACGAAGAACCAAACAATTTCATTGGAAATCATAAGTCACAAGGAGTGGATGCATCTGCGCGGGCCATTGAGAACGATTTTGAGCCATATCGCCAATTCTTTCCAACCACTGGCTTTTACCGTCCCTAGGACCCCAACCAGTCAGGAGGTCTACACCTTCCTACGTGATTGGCTCGCTTGAACTAACTGTTGTGGATTTCATTGACTGGTGAAGCCATGTTTCGGTTTGACCGCCTTTAGCTCTTTTCCAGCCTGACCCTATGTCAGGTAACATTTCCCGTAGAGGAAGGCGATGACTAGGCATACGTAACACATGTCCTAACCATCTCAGTCGATGTAACATTACAGCCTCATCGATTGATTTCCTCACCTTACATAGCACTCGACGCCTAACCTCAATATTGCTCACCCTATTATGCCGCTTCGCACGGGAGATAGAACGCAGGCACCTATGATCAAAGACAGTTAATCTTTTCATGTCTTCCACTCTCAGTGGCCAGGTTTCACAGCCAACGATAAAGAAGGATGGTATAGACTGCTGAGCAGTACGCACGCCCTTTGGTCGATATCCGGATATCACGTCTACCCCAGAGACGGCGTAAACTGGCATGTGCGAAACTAGCCCTCTGTATCCGTACTGAGATTTCGTCGGAGATCAACCCGTTGGGACTGGCTGATGGTACTTCACAAATAGTGGTCGGATGCATGGCTCAAAATCGTTGTCAATGGCGCAGATGTATTCAATCTCTGTAATCTTTCATATTCCTTTCTACCATTACTCATTCTGTTTCACTCTTATATTTGTCAAACTCTATTAATTCTCTTCACTCATCTTCTTGTCTACCTCTGTGTGCTATTTGGAACGTGGCAACTCGAACTGCTGCACTTCGGTGCCAAGTTCTATGTTGAATCCAGACAGACAGACTTCACAAATAAGTGAAGTGGTCAACACGCTCCACCAACCACTTCACTCCCTACTTCTAAACTAGGAGTTAGTGTGGTCCTGTAACATCATCTTGCATTGGGAGAGAGCTAATTGCATGCCAAACATTCGTAGATTGCAGATCAAGGTGTTCAGAAGACTCTGCATTTTGTCAGCATCCTCGCCTAGGACTATGTCGTCTGCATATTCTAAGTCAACAAGATTATTCCCTGGTAGCACGTCAATGCCTGTGTCTCTGAAGTGAGGCGACTGGCCCTATTCAGACAGTGACCTGGAGTTCTAGTGGGAAGCCGTAACCAGTAGGGTACAGCAGGCTGAAGATGAGGCAGTAACTCATCTAAGAAGACATTGCGAAATGGTCGCGCTATGTCGTGAATTGGCAGAAGTTAGAATTCAAAGGCCATTGGAGCGGGTCCCAGTGGCCGAATGGTATACGAGCCAGCTTGCCTTGTATCCAGAAGGCCCTGGCTTCGAACCCCAGTGGGTGCGTACTCTGAAAAGACCCAAACTACAACGAAACAGCTGGCTATCCAGTACTCCCAGATTTTCCAGTGGTTCTCTAACTAATGTCAGCTCATGATGAAATTCTCCATGCAATATATAAACAGCAGTTTGATTAATGAAAAATATACTTTCGCTTGCTTCCGTGTCTTGCCTTCTACTGTTACACTACTACTGCTCACCGGGGGGATGAAAACACATCCAGTGATGAGTCTAAAATAGGACGAAATGCGCATCCTATATTTGACTGCTAGGTCATACATATTCATTACTAACATCTTCTATCTTTCTTTTTTTGCATATCTGCTTCTCTTAACACACAAATACTGACTATTTGACTAGATTTCAACACAAAGAACTTCGCACACAAGAAAGCAGCACTTAAATTTGTCACACTACATAAAACACACAAAGGTAGAAAACGGGGATAAAGAAATACCAAAAAAAAACTATACTAACTAGAAAAATGTTTGGGAGGAAGAAAGAACACCAGCATGAGGACTTAATGAATCTGAGAGATTACAAGAAGTGAATGTATCTCATCCATTGACAACGATTTTGAACTATAGCATTATAAGTCTCCAGCCATTGGATCTTAGCATCCAGAGGATGCCATTAAGGCAGTCTACATCACCTTCCTACATAGCTGGGTCAAATCAACTGTTAAAACCGTCGTGGATTGATGTCAGGTCTTAATTCGATCACCCCCCCTAAATCTTTTCCAATCTAATCTTATCTGTGTCAGCTAACACTACTTGTCGACGGAGGCGTCGATGAGGTCATGCAGCTACAACGATTGCCAATTTCGATCAACTACACAAGTAATAATCAGTTTCAATAAGTGATAATCTTTTTTTTCTCTTCACAATCTGTTTAACAAGCTACTGAAATGCATACATTTAAGTAGTCTGATAAGCACACACACATCGACTTGTTTTTTTCTCAGGTCACTTGAGAGAGAGATAATAGTAGAAAGAAAAACAATTGCAATACAATGAATACTAATGATATAACAACAAAAATCAATAGTACACAAGATCAAAAGACAGCAAGAAAGGATAATTAATTAATCAATTAATTGATTTGTTTATTTACAGAATTACTGATGTAGTTAAAAAAAGAAACAAATTTCACATCACGTATGTGAGAGACAATAATTCATGATGATGATGATGATGTTGAGAGTGGTGATGAATAGTGTTCAGTTAGTTTTACAATATTATTTCTTTCTTACTCTTGTTTTTTTATATCTATTTCATTAATCTGTGTTTCTAGTCTCTTTTACATTATACTGTAATTCTGTGGTCAAGTATACACACACACTTTTGAACAATAAACGTAGACAAATACACTAGGGAATAACATAATATTTTTTTTATTTTGTACACATTTAAATAAGTTGGGGTGTGTGTGGGGGGTGGGGAATTAACTCCAACCGGTCTAAATACTTAACCACAAAACAAAATGCATAGAGTATCAAGAAATCTTGAAGAAATACTAATTCCATTACGAGTGCCACTTCTACTACACTAACGTCTTAGATTCATAGAAGACAACTGCTTCTCTAAAGACGTGATAATATCATTACGGATATTAGCACAATCTGGTGCCTCAGCAATAATACTACTAGCGGCCAAACTAGTCGAAGTGGTAGCAGTTGTAGCATGAGTACGATCAGGTGGTTGTATTTCACGTTTACGTTGCTCTGATAACAACAAGGTTAAACTATTACAAACACTTGGAATTAATTGAGGTCCAAAATAATCGATCAGAGTTTTTGTCAGCTTAAAATAATACTGTGCAGATGTTTTTAAAGCACTCGGTGAACAGTTAATCCAATCATCACTGTCTTTTTCTGCTTTAATAGCGCCTAAATGCACAAGAAGACAATTCGTGGCATAACTTGTTCGACTAGTATCTGCTGATGTCCGCTTATACATATCTGTAAATACAGAGGCTAATAAGCCTATAGCTAATTGCATAATAGGCCCTGTGACTGGATATATCCGACACGGTAGACTACGTGATAGTTCTAAGCTTAGGCGAACAACACTTTCTGATGATACTGTTTGTGAGCATAACATAATTACCGGATGGATTGGTGGTTGTTTGAAGCATTCTTCTGAACCCAGAAAATCTAGTTTTTTTTAAGCAAAGAAAAATAATAAATGAAACGTATATATATATTTTTTTTTTAAGGTTAGCCACGGTACTGATATCAGTTAGAGAACCAGTGAAAACAAATAGGGAGTATTACACAGCTGTTTCATCCTAGCTCAGCACTCTTCAGTAGTACGAATCCAGGACATTCCGTTCACGAGACCACTAGTAGGTCCTGGAATTTGAACCCCAGTGGGTGAATACTACTAATGATGAGTCATAAACTAGAATGAAACAGTTGTCGAGTACTCCCTGGTTTTCTAACTGATGTCAACAACTAGTGATCAGACATGTAACCAATCAAATGCATGCAAACCAACACTTCATATCCATTGGTATTGTCATTATTAAAACACAAATTAGTACATTATGGGCAGCGCCAAGAGATGTGCCACACAAAATCGGATAGATGATTGTGTGGGGGCTGGAATACTGCCCAGATGCCTAGACCGAAGACAGAGGACGGTTGCCGTAATGGGTGATCGCACACACAGCCTTTGACTTGAAGTCTAATCCACAAGACAGTGGAGCTGAGCTCCCATAGTTTTCTGTATTCAAAACAGTTTAATACTCCATTCGATTCTTCTGTATTACGGAACACATGTCCACTATATATAGATTCGGAATCAGAGATTTCCAACTCCCTTAGGTAGATAAGCATGTCCTCCGGTCCGGTTGTAAGGCGGCCTGACGTTCACATTCACCATTTCACTTTTGTGTGAAACACGTCTCTACCTATACCTAGCAGAGGCTCCTAAGTTAAACGTACAAAATTGCATTTCTATGAACGTATGTTAATATATATATATATATATATATATATATATATATGCGGCCTATTACATCAAAGATGTTTCGTTAATGTATATGTGTAAAACTTGGGCACTGTGGTATTAAGTAATTCCATATTAGTTGGTTTATTAGATGTATCACACAGCGAAACAGTATTATTATTTACTGGATGACGCTTCGAACAAAATTTATTGTTCACAATCATATCATCAATTATAATCACACGACTTCGAAACTTGCGCTTTATAGTTTTCTTTGTCCTCTCCTATTTGTCGTTGGAGTAAGAGAATTTTCCAGATGTCCACCTGGACAGGTGTTGAATCATTCCTATCACACGTATTTGCAGTTGATTCGACAAACAAAGCTTCTGTTATCAATCTCTCCCTCCACCCACCCTGTGACATTCGATTTTAAAACTGTCATTTTATCCCATCCATCTTAGCGTATTGTTGTGTGTAATTGCATGTGGTGAGTGCTATAGCTGAACTATTCTCTAGATTTCTTATCTTATTTGGGTCAACTAATCTAGATTTTGCTAGGTTTTATGTTCGGCTAGTCTGACTGACTGCACCTGTTCTACTACTTTGACCGATGTATTCGACCTGACAATCATTCCAGCAGGGTATTAGATAAGCTAAATTGTTTTGTTTTAAAGGCTCCACAGGATCCTTTAACCGACAAAGCTTGTTTCTAATTGAGTTTGTGAGTAGTCTGAATGCCAGTCACTTTTATTCTTACCTTGTTAAGAATTCTGCGTAAGGTCTCCGAGGTTCCTTCCTTGTATGGAATTACCGCTGATGAGTTAGATTCCTTATTGCTGGTGTCGTCACTATTATTATTAATATCATCTCTATGATTATTATCATTGTTATTACTATCACTATCGCTACTATCATTATTTATTTTATTTTTACAATTCCCTACATATTTCCTGACTAATTTATCAGGATAACTATAAAGTTTCAAAGCTTCTCTTATATGTATCACTTCCTGTCTTAGATTTTTCTTGCTACTACTTAGTTTTTGTGCTCTGTTATTTAAACATTTCAACAATCCTATTTTTTCTGACACATATAAGGTGTGATGATCGGAAATTCAAACATCGGTTTGAATGTGATTTTCCTGTAAACACTAGTGTTTAACTTCCCATCTTCTCTTCTTTTTATGCTACAATCTAACATTGGAAGCCCTCCCCGTGCCCTGACTTTCCGATTCACAAGTGAATTGAATTGCCTCCACCTTTGAGTTAATGTGTGTTCTAAGTACAGTGAATGTGTTATCTACATACCTCCCTGCACCATACTTTTGGGGTGAAGGTGAACGTTTCAATCGCTATGTTTTCCCACCTATCTAAAGATATTTCAGTTTTCCTCGTATCCTAATAGCTACTCATTTAAATTGGTGTATTTTGGGGGATATACTATATTTCCACTCCATGACAGCTATCGAAGTACAACTAATACAGATTACTATTAACAATGATAATAATAATAATATACTTGAATATACAAATGACTCACCAATTAGACGATTCCTAGCAATCTCATTTTTAGGATCAGAAAGTGCTTCAATTAAATGCTGCCTAAATTTATCTTCGTCTAATTTTTTCGGTGGGATTGGATCAGGAGTTTTACTGACCGACAAAATTGGTGGGGAGAATAAATTCTTTCCATTTGTACCAGCATTACCAAAACCACTGAACAAGCTTACTGGACCTGATGATGGCCACAACTTCGCCCGGCACAGGCCAGCATCTGTTGTATCAGTATTCTGCGGAGAAAGCCCAGAAAACAAACCTAACGCTGGTTTACCAAATGGTCCAGTCTTTGTCGATTGAGTATTAACATTTTGAGGTGTTAAACAACCACCTGTCTCAAGTTTGGAGAATGCTTCACGAAAGCTGAAATTTATACCTGAATCTGAAAAAGGGAAGTTAAAGAAATGAATACAACTCGACCTCAGTAACTTGTTTGCATGGTTTTCGATAGAAAATAAAACAACTCTCAGATTCAAGTATTGGTTTGTAGGGATTTGATTGATTGGCTACAAAATTTCATCATCGGTTAGAGAGCTATTGGAAACCAGCACCGGAGTACTGGACACCCGTTTCGTCCCAGCTCATCGGGACTCTTCATCAATACACACCTAACTCGTGTTTGAACCCAGGACCTTCTGGTCACAAGGCTGGCGATCTCGTAGACTATTAAGCCACTGAAACCCGATCCAATGGCCCATGAATTCTAACTTCTGCCAATTCATGACATAACGTGATCATTAACTAATGCCTTCGGCGAGTATTTGCCCTCACACCCGACTTGCTGGCCACAACTTGCCACTAGAACCACAGGTAACTACCTACCTGAATAGAGCTAGTCGCCAGTGAGCATCTCATTGATATCCAAGTATTAGTTTATAGGGATTTGATTGACTGGTTACAGGATTTCATCATGAGCTGAAGAATCCCACACTAGGACGAAACATATGACTGTCAGTACTCCCTGCAGATTTTTCGATGATTTTCTAATCAATGTCAGCTCATGATGAAATCCTGTAACTCTCAGATTATTTTAATTACGGATCAATATCGAATAGAATATCATTAAGTCCATAGCATCAACCAAGTCAAGGGATGTGGATAAATAACAATAATAATAACAGTAAAAACAATAACATTGAATGACGATAGTATCACACAATCCTGGTTGGAATCCTCAAGATACATACACAGGACAAATAATGACTGGAGGCTATTGGTGATATGACTTTAAATCCATCTCTGAGTGGCTGAGATGTGTTCATCACTCCCATATCCATCATTATTCTCTTTTTCCCGTACATTTTTACCTACCATAGTTCGTTTGAATCACTTTTCTGCCTTTTCTCTACCTCTACAATATGGAGTGTGGCAACATTTGAACTGCTGCACTTCTATGCAAATGTATACACTGAAACTCATACAATCAGTCAGTCAGTCAGTATTACACCGTAACTCGACGCTGTAATGGTAACGTGTTCCCCTACCCCTCCAAACTCTATATGCCGAGGAGTAGCACATTTCATCACTGTGTCTTGTTTACGCACTGCTGAAATGGGAGGAAGAAAAAGCCCGCCGCCTAGTACTACCTGTCTGATTTCCATTATTTCTCTTCAAAATAATTCTGATCCATTGCCGAAAATAAATTGTATGTTAATAAGTGTCTTGGATGAAATTTGTGAGCACACACACACGCACTGTGTGTGTGTGTGACAACTATCATATCATATGACATCTTGAAACACTTGGAATTATCTTTAATTTAATCACCTTTCTTCTTTTTCTTCTTCTTATTTGGCTCAAAAAGATAAAAAGGAATATATCACACAATCATGCATGTTTATTAACAAAAATTTGTCATGCTATACTACTATGTAAAATTTCTCAAGGCATTAAATTATCTAACTTAACGAATAAAATATTTAGTTAAAAAGTGAAGATATTTACTGAGAGAATTTCTTTGTTTCACTTGGAGATTTTGGATCAATGGCTTAAGCATCAGTCGGTTTTCAGACACTGCGTCCCATGGTTCGTAGACATCTCTTGTTTACTTCACGACCATTGGAACTGGGTAGTGTATTACTCTACTAGTCGTCATATATAATAGGGGTGACGCTAATAGCCAAGCAACCACGCCTAGTTTACTAGTTTTTTCTAGCCGATCCTAAACACCTGGGAAAAGAGGGAAGGTTAGGGAGTGGGACTAGCGACCCTACTCCGGGAAATCAATCTAACCGCTACAAAAACTTCAAAGCGCATGAAAAGAAATTTTTTTCCAAACAAACTTATTCTTCTATATATGTTCAAACCAAGTTCACTTTAAACAGTTTGCAAAATATTTTGGCATTGGGTATATGATATTCATTATAATAAAGGTTTTGTTGTATTTCCCTGTGAATCAATGAAAAACAAAACGATATTGTCGTCTTCACTGACGTTTCGCTATTTAATGCTGCTGCTAATAGCTTTGTCAAAGTATTATTAAACCAGAATCTACAAAATTCACTCAGCTTATATATAACAACTTAATCATCGTTCCTCAGCATGGAAGCATTTTTCCCTTGTCAAATTGGTCGACTAGTTAAGATAACAAAACCAGGTGTGCATTGTTGGATTTGATAAGTGTGTAAAATTAAACAAAAGCAATGTGTGTTTACATAATGAAATTGCTTATCACATACGTGTTGATTTCGTCACTTCATGAGGGATACTATAAACAGTACAAAAGGACACTCAAAATATCGTAAAAGATTCATATGATTTCAAATCTCAAATAGAACAGCGAGAAATCGATAAATAAGACATCATGCTAAGCTACGATGTTAACTCATTATATGCTAGTATCCCTATTACCGAAAGTCTTGATATCATTTCCAGTAGACTGGAATCAGATACAACGCCATCACAAAGATGTCTACTGGACACCAGTGAAATAATTAAGAGCTTGAAATTCTGTCTAGAAAGTAATTATTTTACATTTAAAGGGAGTTTATATAGACAGACAAATGATGTTGCTATGGGTTCACCAGTCTCCCCAATAGTCGCGAACCTTTCCATGAATAGATTCGAAGACCACATCTTTCCAAGCATACTCACTCCTATATGTTGTGCTAAAATAAGATCTATACAGTTCATTTTTGGAGAAAATAAACTGTTTATCTCCCAGAATACAGTTTACTTCGGAAGCAGAATCACACGTCAGTGGACTACTATTTCTAGACTTCCTAGTTAAGAGGAGGGAAAACGGACATTTCAGTATATCTACATTCAGGAATAAAACCCGCTCCACAAAATATTTAGAATTCGGATCATCACATCCTATCAACGCAAAGGTATGATTTGTTTCAAGTCTTCTTAGACGAGCACATTCTCTGATAACGGATGAGAAAGAAAAAGAAGAAGAAATATCAAGCGAAACAACTACCCAAAGAACTTCATCAACAAAATCAACACTGACATTAAGTATGGTCGAAAACGTATTCCGAAAACATGGACTTCAGCAGTAGCCATTCCATATAGAACGGAGACGTCAGACGATATCAGAAAAGCACTCAATAAGATTGACATCAGTTTTCTTCAAAACATCAGACACACTACGAAACACCCTTGTCCATATAAAAAACCAAATCCCTAAAGATTCTCTATCTATTTGTGTCTATAAAATAAAATGCTTGGAATGTGATACCATATACATCGAACAAACATCTCGTGAAATCAAAATTAGAAGAAATGAACACTGTAGAGCATCTATCCGACCACCGAGAAATCCAGTTGAACTAGAGAAGCTTGAAGTCATCAGCCATAGCTCGTCTACACGCTATAGAATCAGGCCACAAAATTGATTTTGACAATGGTGAAATCATCATCCAGAAAAATTTCAGAAACCACAAAGAATGTCTCACACCACGAGAAGCACTTCATATGAAATGGAATCCAAATTGTCTGAACAGGAGTGATGGAATGAAACAGAATTTGGACTGGTTACAACACCTCCCCCTCCCCCATGAAGTGACAAAATCAACACGCATGTGATAAGCAATTTCATTATGTAAACACACGCTGCTTTTACCATTTTTACACACATCAAAGCTAACAATGTACACCTGGTTTTGTTATCTTTACCAAGTGGCCGATTCGACAAAGCGAAAATGTCTTCATGCTAAGGAACGATGATTAAGTTGTTATATATAAGCTGAGTGTACTTTGTAGATTCTGGTTTAATAATGCTTTGATAAAGCTATTAGCAGCAGCATTAAATAGCGAAACGTCAGTAAAAACGACAATATCGTTTTGTTTTTCATTGATTCACAGGAAAATACAACAAAACCTTTATTACAATGAAACTTATTCTTCACTGGAACCGGAGAGACGGAATGACGTGGGGGTGGTAAAAGTCTTCGACAAGCCAGTCAATCCATGTGTCTTAAAAGACACAGTGAAAATGTGCTGTTGAAGCTCCAGATTCCAGTTGGAACCCAGCAGAATAATAATAATAATGACCAGATACACGAGAAATCTGTTTTGAGTCACTGATCGATAAATGTGATGATAATATTAGTGTTAGGTGACCAGAAGGTATCGGCAAGAAGTATACCATGATGGACTACTACCTACCTCGTGAACTTGAGTGATAGGAATCAAAAGACTGATGAGTGAACAAAGACTACTCTCTCTCTCTCTCTTTTTAATAACTTCTTTATGAGGTTCTACAGTTACATTTTTCGATAATAGTTTAGAGAGTAATTATAACTAACAAGGATGTTTCTTAATGAGCACAACACCGAGTAATTCAAACCAACATTCCAATGAAGTAATATGCGTGTAGATTGCTAGTACACGACTATAGTTCAAAACATGCGTGTATGTGAGATAATATGTGCATAAAAATGTAACATTCAAGTAAACATCAAATTTCGAAAGTAAGCAATCATAATAATTAACAATGAATGCATACAGTGAGATGAATGCTCATAACTACTAAGGGTCGGTGGCACAGTGGCTAGGACTCTCGCCGACCATGCACATGGTCCGAGGTTCGATCCCCTGCCGACGCACACCTGATATCAATGGTCGGCCAGAAAAATTTGGACTACTGACATTACATGCTGAAAATTCCATACTTCTACCAAAAAGTACTGTGTGGAATCAAGCTGTAATCAAAAATCAAAAGAAAAAAATCACACTGAATTTTATTCAGTCTGATTATAAACTTCATATTGCTACCTCGGCCTCTGTTGTGGAATCTATGCATCCCTGAACCCTGCGTTACGCGTCATACCTCTCAGGTATGACAGGTATGAGGTTCCGTCTTGTATGTACGTATGTATCGATGGATTCTTTCTATGAGTTATTTATTATTACCATGCTAATTGTAAAGCAATCGTA